TGACTTTGGACGAAATCAGAACGAGTCATAATCTTCAGTAGTGAGGGAAATTATAAAGAGAGGAAGGTAAAGAAAAGCTCTGGCAATTTTCCGCTCAGCTGGTGTGCTGTCATCGGCTGCCGGCGCCTCATGACAGACGTAACTCTGACAAACGACTGCTAATTACAGACACTCTGATATTGATACTATTATAACTACTGCCCGTTCTACATTAGAACATTCGCAAATCCTTGAAATGATAAGGAGGAAAAAATGTGACGCTTTGAGATTTTCTGGCTTTTGTTTTTCTATGTAAGATGATATTTTGCTAATTGATATTTTAAATGACTGGCGTTGTGTGCTGGTTCCGAACATAATTATGTCAGAATACGATGTTTAACTCGGATGGTTGTAAAACACCACACTCTTCATTCTTACACTACCAAAAAATAATCTAACTAGCCTAATCGAATCAATCCTCATTTCTATTGCAGTTTACGTAATTCCATTAACGGATTGAGAAAAAAATGGAAATTAGAAGCCACTATTTAAGACTAGCAACCACAGGAAGCTGGCTTAATTGCACGTCAATCGAAAAGACGAATGTTTGACACTCGATCAATTATAAACCCAGGTTCACAACGACCAATGACGTCACGATATTATTAAAGATGGCGGATTTCCTTATCATTTTGAAAATGTACTTTAAATTGAAGATTGGAGCCTATTATTTTATAGTACACGAGTGTATGGTCAACGTAGGGAATGGCCAATTAGCGCTTGTTGCTCTTCAGATCGTGGCTTAATTAGTGATGTTACAAAACTATTTGTATCTTCACAAGATGAACAACATTCAAAATTTTCCTCTCACTAGTATCTAAGACCTCATAATGTAGATATTATTTAGCATTATCAGAAAACTTGTATGTTATGTTAGACCCCTAGTATTTGGTGACCCGTGTAAAGGATGCCATTTTTGAAGACGTAGGTAAACAGTCGTAAGGAGATAATGCATGAACTAGACAGTCGAGACTATCATCAAAAGGAGATTGTATAAGAGATGAAACCAAATAAAAACAACAAATAGTTCTTAAATAGATTGAATTCTGTCGTAAGAAAGATCATAATAAGGCTTAGAAAAAGAAGGTAAGCGAGCGAAGTGGGAAATGATTTACCAAGAAAACCTACAAAAGAATAACAACTGGAGGAAAAATTATTAAAGGTAAAGCAACAAGAACAATTCTTTGAATTGATGCCAATACTACAACGTTTTCCTGCCTAAGTACAACTATTGATTGACATTGTTAGGCGAACAATCATAAAACTATATTTTTACAATATTTATGAAATTTTCCATTAACCCAGTACACTATATGTATATCGTGCTCCACGCATTTGTCTGACACAATTTCTGTGGATTGGAGTAACATTTTGTTTTTATAATTACTCAGATGTTCGTAGTACATGATCTTAGGGTTTCCGCGTCTTAATGTATAACTAGGTTTATAGAGGTAAAGTCACGTCTTCTGTAGACCCCAATAGTACATACAGAACTCCACTACTATCACATACACTATGATCTTTATTGTACACATCATAGGCACTTCTTTAGCTTCCATGACATTCATACATCTGGTTATTTGGTTAAGCTTACTACGCACTTGGTCTTTTTCAAGGATCTCTCCAAAGAGACCAGTATGTTCTCCTAGGGCGGCCCCTACCTACGTTGTTATGTTCATCTGTTCAAGGCTATCATTTTAATCGAGTTCTATTTTCCACCTAGTCGATATCGGTGTATTGTTTCTCCACGACAGCCGACCGACGCCGCGTCATGTAGGGCACACGAGCGGGCTCCATGCCAACTGTCCCGCCCCGCCTGACGTGACTTATGATAGTGTGCACGCTGCATTATATTTTAATAGACTAGTAAGTACTGTTTGTTTTGGTTAATTGATTATTATTGCTGGAATTTCATATTTATTGAAGAAGTTCTGGATAGACAAACTGTTTATAAATTTTACATGACGTAAACTATTCGGTTAGTACTTCTCAAGTGATAATATGTACTTCTCAAGAGTGAGGTATCCAAATAAATCACGAACTACTGCACGAATCACCATAACTTTCGAAGTCAAAACAAAACCCTTCGTCGAAAATATGGTAGAAGTGAAAGAAGTATAGTATGAAAAAATCAATTAACTAATTATTTATCCCCCTGCCATTTCTACCCCATTTGAATGTTAGCCAAAAGCACCTACGCAGGATAAGTAGCAGTTTTATATGCTCACATTTAGAAAAACTTTAGAGTAATTAAAATTAAAGTAAAAAAAGTATCGTGAACTACGAAGTCTCTACGAAGTACCTAATGAAAGTGCCAGTGTTCCCGAGATATGACGTGATAATCAGCTAAAATAAAGTCGCTGACAGCTCAAGGCGTGATGTCATTACAGCATGATGCCAAATCATTAAAACACTACACGTTACGCCGCTGTAAACATTACTGTTTAACTACGGAGTAAATAAAACATGTCATATAATCTTATGTAGTTTTTGATTTGTAATTCTATAGGTCAGGAGTCAGGACTTCAAGATATTTGAAAATCGAATCTTTGAAGACTCGGTGGTCATACTAAGAAGAAAAAAGTTGCACCAAATGAATAATTGATAAGTACACAAATATACAATGATAGATACTTACAAACATCGAAGATGTAGGTAATTGAATTTTCTGGAAAGAGAAAACCCCAAGACCTACTACTATGCACGTCCAAAAACTTTATGGGATAGCATTGAATGATGCGTCTCGTGGAATAGGTTATGTGTTATGCGCAGTTTGTTACAATAATCGTCAGCGTCTACGCATGCATTTTTAATGTAAACATATCGCGTTGCATCGCATCATCTGCCAACTGGAGTAGCCGTTATCTTAAAGCCTCAAGGGCTAATTGGGCTTTTGATGCCAAAATGCAGTTATATTTAGCTAGAATTACGTAATTGGTACGCACCGAGGTTAGTGATGTCGTTAAAATGGTAATTAGACCAAAAATCAGAGAAACTTACTTTCTTTTCTATTTTTTTTGTCGCTAACAGATAGCTAATTTTCGAGCTAACAGATAGCTAATGTTCTTAGTTATCTTATTAATCTGGAGCTAGCTGATTTTTGTTAGAGAAACATTAATGTCATTTTTCATTTGCACTTTTATTTTAAAAGATCGTCCTATGATATACTATATGATGTATCTATTCACTTCAACTTGAATCTGAATAAATTTTCATGTATATTCATTGCCAATTATGGCAAAAACTAAGGCCACGATTGCATGGCACTAGTTTAGAGTGTAGACACTGATATCAGGTCCAATTCGTAACATTTGACAGGCATATATTTTATGTCATCTGACGTTTACAAAGGCCAATCGCTTTGTACTTCTGCATCTGTGGATATTTTTGACTGTTTAAATGTTAAATTTTGTTTTAATTACACATGAATTCTATGTCCAGCGATAGAAGAACGAATTTGCCTGTTACCAATAAATCACACATTAACTCGATCTATCTCATTCAGTAACAATTAAAACAGTTAACACCGATCGAATATAAAATGATTCTAGATTTTCATCTGATGCCATCTCGATTAATTGACGGTTCGATTCCCAGCATTCTGGTACGAATAAATCGGCGGCCGATGCGCGATGCGACCAGACGACGGCTCTGAATGAAGGCGACAGCTGACAGATTACACGGGACAGATTGACGACTGCCACATTTATTATTTGATGCCACTTGTTAGCTGTGATGCAATGTATTGGTTTAAAATGTGATAGCAAAAACTGACAGAAAATTCTATCGAGTCTGTGGTATCCCCGCAAGAGTCCAAACGACAAATGAAACAGTCTGAAGTAGGGTAACGATTTTGCTAAAAATGTAAAGAAAAAAAAATAGTTAATGTTTCTTAGAAATTAAGGAAACATGAAAAGTTACTCAAGATGAAACCCTAAACGACACTGCTGACGTTTGATCTTTCACAAGAATACATTTAAGTTGTCATCTAATATGTAGCTAAATGGACGCCTTCTAAGATTCCATGGATTTAGTTTTAATTCAAAAGTAGTTAAAGGAATTCATATACTTATACAGTCCTAACTACCTACCTATACCTGCACGAGAGGAACGGCCATCGTACCTGTGCGGTCTGACGTGGGCTAACTTTGTGTGGTATTTCGTGTAGGTCTTCATTACCTTCTGAGGTCGAACTGATATTCGTTCAAAGTCAACTTTTTAAAGTCAAAATCCAATCTAATCTACTATCTAATAAAATAAAAACACTCACCTAACCAAAGCTTCCATGATCGACAACTATATTCACCAAATAATAAACATGTATAAACAGTAAATATAACGAGCGCGAAACTCTCATCAAGATCGGCACGTTATCAATCAGTATCATCAGCGAGCGTCTCCTGGCGACGGTGACGCCACCTCGCGGCGTGCCAACATGCCAGCAGTGACTGGCATGCCGTCGCGTGAGGGGCAAATTGCGAGCCACTCGTGTGTGGTACCAGCATTTGTTGCACTGATATCGAAGGCTGATTTATTTGTTCAACAGATAATTCTGGATGATGAAAAAAATTGTGTCTTTTTGCATGTTAAAGAATCTGCATTTTAAAATTGACGCTACATTTTGGTGTAGAATTTAGTAGTTACTGTTTTTGTTCTATATATTTTGGAATAGGGGGTAGACCATCACATAGCAATGAAGGATCATTGCCGCCCCTGAAGATCAGCATCACTAGAAAAGTTATAAGTGCCTTACATTAACATTTTTTAAATTATACATTTTCTCAAACATTACCGGACTGTTCGAACTTCATTGAATGTCAATGGCCTAATGTATAACTATTTAAGTAAAGTTCGAAAATTATCTACAGAGTTCTGTAAACCACTAGGCTATGAATGCTATGGTTGATCGTACCCATCTCAATAACAATAAAAAAACAAAATAAATCAAAATAGCAACTCACCTTTTTCTTATGAGACTTCTTGTTCATCTCGCGGAGCTGTCTCCTGCAACAGAACACAGATGCTGTATGTTTTGATACACAAATCACATTCTATTATAATGGGCCACAGCTGTTTCTCCCCGAATCCCGAATCACTCCGGAAATATTCTGTGACGCTGACTTTAACAATAATGTGATCCGGCTGGCTTGTATGAGCTGCTATGAAAATTACGACCTCTAGAATTGCAGTGACCAAATTAAATATTTGTGTCAAAGTGTATGTTGGAAATGTATTTCTGTCTATTCATTTTAGTAATGGTGCAATGAATTGTCAAGTTGTCGCTGAAGATGAGATCATGAGTATTATGAAAAATCCTGATATTGCGAAGCACATTTTAATTCAAGTCATAAAGAGCATAACATCATAACATCACGCCTTTTATCCAGGAAGGGGTAGGCAGAGGTGCACATTATGCCACTGTACAATGTAACACCCACTTTTCACTATTTTGTGTGTTTTGCGCAAAAATAAATGGTTTTTCTTTCTTTCTTCTTTCTATTTGTTATGAGTCCCATGTAATAGGGGGTGAGCCTATTGCCATATACCGGGCACAATTCCAGACTCCGTGCTACTACTGAGAATTTTTAAAAACCCAGTAGGTAATAATTTGCCCGACCCGGGAATCGAACCCGAGACCCCTTGCCCGGCAGTCGCACTTGCGACCACTCGGCCAACGAGGCATTCATAAAGAGCATACGCTTGTATTTGCTTCAGATCGTTGGAGGTGTGTTCGGACCAAAGTACACCGTTTCTAGTTTTTAACTACTTATACATAAGACAAAGCCTAATTGAAATGCAAAATGTTTATTGTAGGTACAGTAATGTGTACCACTGCACTAGATAGTAGTGTAGGTACTTGGCAGGCACATACACGATGGCTATTAAACGATATTAACTGTGCAGACAAATGGATGCAGCTGCTCCACTGAACAATATAACTCCTTTATTGCTCCCTAATTCTTTAACATCACAATAAACTCTACGAGTCATCACGGATTAAGTAATCATTGAACATCATCGAAGTCAAGAAAAAACATCTCGACTACGCCAAAACAAATGTCTTCAAATGCGATGTTGAAAATGAAGAATTCAGAGCATTTATATCTGACAGTTTGGACAGGAAATGTCAGCAAAACACTTTCGTAATGGCTTTTTTATAAAATGAACGGTTTCTCATCTAGACCAACAATTAATCAAATTCATATTTAATTAAGCACTCTTCCCGCCCTATTGATTACCTAATCATTAAAATATTCGCTGTTTTCGTTCCCCTCCACCGTGACGAAATCAAACCCGTGGGCTATACATAAAATCGTTTTAAAATTAACTATTCATGCTTTTGTTTAAAGGCACGCTTCTAAATTCCTTCGGTCACAATTTAATTTAATGTGTCGTCCATTTTGACGCGGAGAAATCGGCCGCTCACAAAATAGTAGCCGTTACTAATTAAACATGGAAACGGGGATGGAAAATAGACACCAAGGATAAAGAATGATCTTATTTGTTTTGGTTTCTTCCAGTCTTAAGAGCTTTCGCCTATTAAATGGTCTGAGATACGAGCGAAATGGAATCAAAGTTGTAATAATATCAAGCATTTCAAACAATACCATAATTCTAAGATTGTATGATGGCTTTAGAAACCATTACTGTATATTGTTTAAAATTCCTCTTCAATCAAAATAGTATTCTAGTCAGAATAGAAGATTCTAGTCGTTCTGCTACTAGAAGGAAACATACACCACGCAAGGTTATCGTGCCTAGTAGCAATAGAATTGGTAAGTTGCCTAAACTACCCACCCCTGTCACTGTTTCTAACTGTACCTAATGCACCAATATGTTAACAAAAATATCTATTTTAGTAACGACACAATGTGCCAAACACGACACGTCGGTATCCTTACTAATATTATAAATCGGAAACTGAGTTTGTTTGTTTGTTCCGCTTTCACGCCGGAACTACTAACCGATTGCTTTGAATTTTTGCAGACGTAAAGTTAGAAGTCCGGATTAAATAATAGAGTACTTTTTATCCCGAAAAAATTTGATATTCCCGAGGGAAAATAAAAGTATTGGTATAGATGGAGCTGTGTGTATTGGTATATGTCACATAGGCTACTTTTTATACTTTTGTGACGCGAGCGAAGCTGCGGGTAAAAGCTAGTTAAAACTAAATGCTTCATTACTTTGTATTGAAACTTGTCGCTATTATATTTGTTTTAACTTTTATTTTACAGTTCCACATCAATAGATTGTTTTTACGGCCGTAAAGTCAGCTACAAAGAGGCTGAACGATCGTGGATCATTGCTCTGTTTAAAACTTTGACTTTTGGTGCGTTGTAAATAATTCTGTAATGCGTTCTCTACGTTCTAATGTTAAGATTTCGTTAAATATTTTGGTGATTGGTGCCATTCTAAATTAGGAGGGATCTCTTTTATCTCTGATGTTTTAACAGAAGTCTGACAGGAGGTATCGATCCAGGAAATGTTATTGTGATTTTTTACAGTGTTTCCATTATGGAAAGACTTAAAATTATTTTAGAAATAGAACAAACACGTTTCTGTAACCCGGCTCATAATCGCGCATTACTTTCGACGTTTATTATAAACAGAGTTTTATTGAATTTCACGATCTTAATGCAGAAATTGAAACAACAATCAAATAAAAACAAACGGACCGTTTTATTGCCGCCCAACTGGCGTACACTGAAGAAATCCAATCTCCCGTATTATCATAACCTTAGCCGCGATGTAAATCAAATTTTGGCGTTGAATGTTTGCCAATGCGTTTAAATAAACTGACCATTGGATGGATGGCATAGACAGCAGCTCAACCTACCCATTTCTATCTTACTTTATTTGATTTTAAACTTCATTATTTTGGTATAAAGTCGAAAATCCAATAAAAAAACCTGACAGAGTGGAATAGCTTGACTTGTAACAAGCCTCTGTACTATAGTGTCCGGGCGAACGGACAGCGTCATTTGGCGGGCATCAGAACTCGCTCAAAGTTCCCATTTAAACGCTGTTTTCCCTTTCAAGAGTATAAACAACTACACACTGGTTTCCGTAACGTTGTGATGTGTCAAACAAATGTTATTGATCACCACAATAACGTATGGAGTGCAGTTACCAAACTGTTATGTGTTTCTGTGTGCTTTACTGGATTCTCATTTGTAAGAATATTTACTCTAGTGAGATTGAAAAATGGTGTTCACTGGAGCAATGCTGAGAATAACAATGACTTGCTCTTCTATCACATTCAATAAATAAATAAGCGTTCTAAAACATCCGAATCCTTATTTATTAGGATTTATAGTGTAACAAATCTTGGTCTAAGTTTCCTAAATCAGACGATGGAATTTACAATTGCAATAGTAATAAATAGTTCCGATATGATATAAGTTGAAAGAGTTAGTCTGCTATTATTAGCATCAGACACATAATATAACATCTCGCCTTTTATTCTCGAAGGGGTAGGCAGAGGTGCACATTACGACACTTAATGTATAATGTAACACCCACTTTTTTACTATTATTTTATGTTATGGGTCCCGTGTAGGGGTTGAGCCTATTGCCATATACCGGGCAAAATTCTAGACTCCGTCCTACTACTTAGATTTTTAAACTGTCAAACACCGCGAGGACACCGGTGACCGCAACCTATTATTCTTTAATTGTGTCTATAATGACGGGACTCAAAGGGTTAAAAACCCCAGTAATAATAATTTGCCCGACTCAGAAATCGAACCCGAGACCCCTTGCCCGACAGTCGCACTCGCACCAACAAAGCACTCTTATTAGCATCAGAGTTCTATAAATATACCTTACTTTATAATATTTATTCGCATTATAATTTACGTTGATAGTTCTGTTTGAAAAGAAATGATTAATTTATGTCTTCCTCAGAATCCTCAGTCAAACGATGACGGCTTATATTTTATGTTATTACACAGCTGTTATAAATATTCAACGCTTAAAAACATGTTCATATCAACATTTCTTAAGAACTCAATCAAGGAATACACTACGTACAGATTTTGGGATTCTGTAAAATATGATTCCTGTTTTATCTCATGGGAGCATTTAATCGAGATAAAGTATCCAAAATCAGCCCATACCCTGTATATGTCGCGGAGAACCTAACGGTCGCGGGTTACCGGGGCTCCTTTTCGAAGCGCAGGAGAAGGAACGGGGTGGTGTTTAGTCAGTAAGAGTCTGACACTCCCTCCCGTCTCACCCAGGCGGGAGAGGTCATTAGATGATTCCCTCTTTAAAAAAAATACTCTGTATATCAAATCTCGTCAAAATCCGTTCAGTAGTTTCAACGCTAATTGACGGATAAACATCCAAACAAAGAAACTTTCACGTAATTATATATAATATTATTGTGATATTAGTACCAAACTTTTTACTAGATAAAGTACCTAAATAGTAACTACACTGAACGTAAAAACAACAAAGGACTAAAACATATCACAGCTGAAAAAAACATGAAACATCGTAAAGATGCAAAACAGTTTTAGTTGTAAAAGGATCAAATGGAATATCATAGAGTTGTAAACTAAAGTGCTGCCATGTTCTCTGAAGCTGGCGGCAAATTATGATGAAGAGCATCCAGTTCAAACGGCAAGAGCAATCTGTCATGCGAGTGACGGCGCGACGGCGCGACGTCCGAACGTCCCCGAGACGTCCACATAAACGTTTTGTTATAGTCGTCATGTATTTGTGATGAATATGACGTAGCTGCTTTTATCTCGCCCAGGAGTAGGATCAAAGGAAGATTACCATCAGTTTTACTGGGCTATGTTGCAAGCTATTTCGGAATAGACTACATGTGGAGGATATTATATAGGAGTGTTGTGTCTCAGTTAAGAATAATTTTTAAGTCTATGGTTAAGATTAAGGTTATAAGAACCTAACGGGTAACCGGGTCGGAGTCGCGGAGAACCTAACGGGTAACCGGGGCTCCGGCTCGACGTGCAGGAGAAGGAACGGGGTGGTTTTTAGTCAGTAAGAGTCTGACACTCCCTTCCGCCTCACCCAGGCGGGAGCAGCAATTCGATGATTTTCCCCCCTTAAAAAAAAAAAAACGGGTAACCGGGGCTCCGGCTCGACGTGCAGGAGAAGGACCGGGGTGGTTTTTAGTCAGTAAGAGTCTGACACTTCCTCCCGCCTCACCCAAGCGGCAGCAGTCATTCGATGATTTAACCCCATAAAAAAAATGTGTTTATATGTACGCAATCATTTTAATTATTCTAGGTATATTGTTTAAAGGAGAAACCCGAACTTCTTAGAAGCTTGGGCCTGGCGTTACATAGCTGGAATTTTGTCATAATTTAGAGCACTTAGGAAAATTTCACGAGCCTAATTTTCAAGTCTCTCTGCAATGGCCAAATTGTAGCTATACTGTATTGTAGCTGTACTCAATACTCAGCAGTAATATTGCCATCAATGACTGGTCTCAATCCAAAATATCTGAATCAATTTAGGTTTATATTAGAAAAAGAGAAGTAATTTCAGAAATCTATGGGCTTTTAGAGATTACTACTGCGACCTACAGTTTTAAATACATACATAACATCACGATTTGTGCACATTACCGCACTTAATGCCGCTGTACAATGTAACACCCACTTTTCAATATTTATGTTATGAGTCCCATATAATGGGGGTGAGCCTATTGTCTTATACTGGGCACAATTACAGGCTCTATGCTACTATTGAGAATTAAAAAAATACTTTGCCTGACCCGGGAATCGAACCCGAGCCTCCTTTCCCGGTAGTTGCGCTTGCGACCACTCAGCCAACGAGGCAGTTTGAAATACAGTTACTGATAAATATACTTGTGTTTAACAGCCGAGGTCGGTTTACGCGTTAAAGTACTGCTTCAATAAATCATACTGCAGCTCTTGGCTCCAGCATCAATAGACGCCGCGTACGCGCATCATTGCCGCCCGTTACTGATACAGCCTACAGATAAAGTGATTCATATTTAAATAGATAATATTTTATTATTATTCTATTTGGTTATCAATACATAGTATAAAACAAAGTCGGTTTCGCTGTATGTCCGTATGTATGCTTAGATCTTTAAAACTACGCAACGGATTTTGATGCGGTTTTTTTTAATAGATAGAGTGATTCTTAAGGAAGGTTTGTATGTATATACATATTGCACCCGTGCGAAGCCGGGGCGGGTCGCTAGTTAATAATAAAGGTACATGATATGCCTTACAATCTAACGCCATGTCCAACAAAACTATGTGTAAAAGGTATGACTGTTGGATCTTCTATATTTAAATTACTATTTATTATGATAATGGTTATAATTAATTTTAAATACATAATATAGTTATGGTAGTGTGCTAAACAGATATTTTTGACGAGTTCAATTTTGTGTTGCTGGCCACAAGGGTGCTTCACATTGATTACTTTAGTCTACTATCTGAATGGTCGCAATTGCAACGAAGTATGTTATACTTTTCGAGTTTAAAATTCTTAAAAATAGCACGATTTTAAGTTACAACTTACAAATAAAAACCCGAGGTGCAAAAACTAGGACTACGTGCATATAATTGACTCTTACCTCTAAGTATGTAAACAAATCTTTAACTAGTGAGACGACTCAACTGTACAAGATTCTAACAACAAACGGATATACAGAACATCAAAGTGATAAAATTCCAAGATAAATCTAAAATATGTGACTTCCTTTCTACAATACCGATGTAGTAGACTGAAAACTTTACAACAAATTATAATTCAACGAAAATTACTAAAATATTATTCATAAACATTTTTTCCCTATTGAAGTCTTTTTCTTAGGCTTTACTACGCATCGTAGCGCGTAGTAGGTACTTCCAAAGCTACGCGCAAGGATAGGCCGTAGCGTATCCTTGCGCGTACGTATCGTAGTACTATTTGTCCCTATAACTTTCGTAGCCCGTAGCAAGTTGTGTAGTATGACTACAATTTTTGATTTGTTTTAATTTTTGTTAGTGATTTTTTTTTATTTACGGCCATGTTCGTCCCACTGCAGGGCAAAGGACTCCCTACCCTCCTTCCACTCCTCTGTATGTAAAGCTTTGGCCGGTAAACTCACGCAGTAATTAAAATAACAATTTACAGACATTTTGTTCGATTTGGAGCAATATTTTAAGCTGTTTATAAAGAGAACATAAACAGAATGTCCCGTACCACACGCACTTCAGTATTGTTAGTGCAATTAATTTTATTCAACACGGTTACTTCCTTCTTTGAAACATGTTTAGATTTCAACTTTTAATATATTTTACACCGTGTGGTGTACCTGTGCCGTCTTTATAATATAGGTACTCGGGGCCCGTACGCAGGGCCCTCATACGGCGGAGACCCAGGAAGACCGACAATTTTTATGACAGACACACAACGTGTTGCAAGTTCGATTCCCACACGGAGGTAATCTATATGTGGTCAACTAATTGTTGTTCCGGGTCTGGGTGTAATGTGTAAGTGAACTTGTATGTTTGTAAATGTAGCCACGATATATGAGAAAATCCTAGTATAAGGCAACGTTAAAAAGATACATCCCAAAAGGCCCCGAATTATTCTGTTCCCAAGGGCTCCAGCGTAGTCTAAGACGGCCTTGGTGGTCACAGCAAAGTAGAGTAGGTATGTACATACATTAATCACCACCCGCTTCCCGTGGGTGTCGTTAAAGTCGACTAAGGGACTACACATTTAACAAAGACCGGGCAGAAAGAAGTGTTCCATGAAATACTCAATCTTTTTAAACTGCAATCTCCGCCTGCCAAGCTTGGAGGTTATGACAAACCCTTCTGTTGTAGAGGAAGTCCATAGTCCAAATCAGTCCATAAACTCAAAGTCAAAATCCTTTTTTTCAATTAGACGAGGAAGGCACTTTTGAACGTCAACAAAAAAATCTATTTTAGTCTATGTTTGAAAGTTATAACGACTTTTAATTCTTTTTTTAAACTACGCAATGTTTAATTGGTAGAGGATGTTTTTATATTGCTGCCGTTACTAAAGTCATGTCTTACGCAAATCTCGTAAGCATTAGATTTGTTCCTTTTGCAGATTGATCCGAGATAGTAAAGTCAATAAATTGGAGTTAGTGATCGAGGAGTGAGACTATTAGAATGTTTACTTTAAGATTATGTTTAATGTTTATGTATCCTAGTATCCTACTTACTGTGTTGGAATTTTAGACATGCCATTCTGCATGAAAATCCAATTCCGATTTTACAAGCTCTCTTCAAAATGTAGTTGATTGGTATGCTCTATGTTAAGGTCCGTCACTTCTACCTAATTATTGAATTATTATTGTTTGGTATCGATTAGTCATGAAACAATTATTAATTTGTCAATTAAAATCAAGTCATGTTATTCCATCGGAATAGCTTTTAAAAATGATACTTACCTATCGTTGTCACGTTGTGAATTAAACAACAAATTAAAATAAAAGACACAATAAATAAAGATAACAAACCTCCACCAATTATCAACACCAAAAATTGTCACTGGCCACTGAAAATTAATACTATCCGTATAAACTGTCACTTCACATCATAAAAATGGCCTCGAATATGGCGGGAAAAAGTTTAGGGTTAGCGCGCGCGACCGTTTACCCTGGCACAACACACTGTTATGCCGGGACTGAGGACTGACACAATAAAATTAAGCATTTACACTGTGAACCGGCCCACGAGACGTTTTCGTAATAACCATAGTAGATTGCAATGTGCGCCCATTTATTGGGAGTTAATTTGGCAACAGTGGCATGCCAAATGATTTTAATGGTGCGCGCCACTTTGCTGCCCAGTCGCCTGTGTCTTCAACACAAAGAAGTACCCACTGAGCTCTGGAGAACGGGCCCGACGACGAAATATGATTTTCTTTGATGTTAAAATTGATAGTTAAGGTCGTAACCTATTAAAATTAAGCTCATTTTGTGTCACTTTAATTATTTCGCAAGTGTTGTCCATTTTATTAATGTGTCAGTTTTAAGAGTTGATTTATCTTATAGATTACCTACATATTTTAGCTATTTTATAACAGTAGAGGTGTATTAAATTATAGTAGGCAATCGAAGTACTTAACATTAAAAAGCATTGGCATCAGTTAGTGATAGGATATTACAGATTAGTAGTTCGGATATAACACCTTAACTATGTAAGTACGTTTTGCACTTCCAACGTTCAGCACTCGTAACATCTCGTAGCCGATATGATGATAATGATAATTACCTAAGTACCTGTTATGGCGAAAGCTAGTAGAGGTAGTCAGGTATTCCTATAACTAGCGTTTTTTGCTTTCTTAAACTGTCAAACACCAAGCGGTCACCGGTGACCGCGACCTATTGTTCTTTAATTGTGTCTATAAAACCGGTACTCGACGAGTTAAGAGAAAAATGTGATGAGATGATGTAGTAGTGTAGATATACCTACGTCACAGTAGATATTTCTACTGTGCTTACGTTATGAAGGTATATCTTATACATATGTCTGTCTATGTTTTTAGATATACCTACATTATGTAGTGTATAATATAGACAGATATACCTGTCGCGGAGAACCTAACGTGTTACCGGGGCTCCGGCTTGAAGCGCAGGAGAAGGAACGGGGTAGTTTTTAGTCAGTAAGAGTACTCTGACACTCCCTCCCGCCTCACCCAGGCAGGGGAAATCATTCGATGATTTTCCCCCTTAAAAATACACCTACCCAATGTAGGTAAGTATATCTGTCTATGTTAATAATTAGGAAGGTTATAAACCTAGGTTTAAACCAGGCATCTTTTACTGGCTTCAATTGTGATTGTAGGAAAGTTCTCAGTACCTAAGTACTAAGTACCAACTCATCCTATTGCAAACAAGTGCACATGGTAGCTACGAATTCTCAGAAAGTTTCGTTTAACCTTTTGAGCGCCAGGGTCACAAATACGTGACAAGCGAAAACTGTCCCTGAGCGCCAACGACACAAATATGTGACAAAAACAGCGGTACATTAAAACACGAAATAAACTATTTAAACATTACTTTAATGCCTATTTATTTATATACCTGTAAAATAGAAGGTCCAAAATTTATTTATTTCCATAAAACTAATTAAATTGCATTATAAATATTGAGAAATTTTACGTTAAAAAGAAAGAAATAAACTCTGAAAAAAGAATGTCCTCACACGCCAGAGTCATAACTGCGTGACCGCTAGTGATGTAGCGCATGTTGGATAATATCATTATTTCAAATCAAAGATCGATTCGAAACTTTCCTCTGGAATATATTATTTTAGGTATAATTTGGTACTAGGATAAAGCAGCATTAATTTTATAAAACCAGTCTTAAAAATCATTCAATAAGCTACATAGTCAAAAATAAAATTTGGTTGGGTCGAATTTCGATATTCACTAATCCCAACTCAAGCGCATCCCTAACGCAACCCGAATTATCAGTACCCTGTACGCCATGGTCACGACTAGACGACAATATGGTGACGTCACAAGCGCGGCGACCAGAAATTAGTGAAGTGAATGAATAATATTTATGATTAATTTACTTGTGATGTCGAGTTCAAGATTTATATTAAGTGACTATTATAATGAGTGGGAATTTAATGACTACGGAAGAACTTTTTCGCATATTAGAAGGAGTCTCAGATGACGAAGAATTTTCGGAAACAATTTTCGGATTTTATTTACATATGGCTTTAGATGATAAGATAATACAATGCAGATTTTGTATAATGTTGTTCTATTATTCTAAAGATTTATTAGTATAAGACTGATTGGTAACTGTGATAATTATATATAATTGTTAATTGTTTTAATTTGTTACTTTTTTATGCCTGATAACACATGGCTTACTATTCGCTGGTTGCGCGATGACAGCGCCAACTAGCGGTCGGCGGACTCGGCGGACCTTGGTACGTCAAATAGTTGACTGTCATTGTCTTTACGAGGAGTAAGCAGTGAATAAAGCATGAAGGTGTAGGTAAAGATGGAGTACACAGTACACACTTGAAATACCTACTTGAATTTTTATTTCTCTTCTACTGTCTGAGGTCAGTTTGTTTCAATTTCTGTAGTACACTAGAAAAAGAGATCAGACCTCAGTTTGCCTCAGAGAATAGGAGCGAGAGTATTTGACTCGAAACTTTTATTCTAAGTGTGGGCTCCATATTTACCTATAACTTCGTGGAATAAAGTCTGCCAAAAGTTCCTTTTTTAGCCACGATGCGCGCTGAGATCGATTTCACTGTCCCCACCACCCACTTTGCACCCAGCGAATTAGATGATCAGAATGCAGGTTGCATTGTAGATTTTGTATAATTTTGTTCTATTATTCAAAAGATTTATTAGTATAAGACTGATTGGTAATTGTGATAATTATATATAATCGTTAATTGTTTTAATTTGTTACTTTTTATGCCAGATTTATAGAACTTAATATTTAAAAACATGTATACATAGTACATACTGTATAACATTTTATTAATTTGACTTGACCGTTATTCGAAGCTTATTTAATTGAGATAGGCCTTCTGCTTCCCTCCTTCCGCTTTTTCTATATGTCTATCTCTTTCTACTACGTCACTTCCACTTGGCAGTGGTGGGGAGGCTTGCTAAGAGAGACTCGCTTTTTTTATTTCATTGGCGTCTTGTTTCCCGCCTTGAACGGTTGTGCCTTGTGAATCACAAGACAACCATTCACAAGTTGTGAAACTACCTTCCGATTTTATTATTATTTCTTTTTTATAAAAGTGATAAATGTCCTAACGGCTTTTATTACAATTGTAAAAATTTTAAATTAAATAAAGCTTAGTCTTTCGTTACCTATTATGGAATTCAGGTAATAATTGTGATTATTCATGTTGTTCCTGAACACTTCTTCGTATGGAAGTGTCGACTTGAACGTAAGTTTCGAAAAATAGCTAAACAGGTACGTAACCTTTAGCAATAAATTGTATGCAGGTGAGTACTTTCTAGTGTTATTGAAAATTTTTGAGAATATCATTTTGATGTTGATGACCTGATAAATTGTATAGAAATTATGTATGTCTATCAAAGTGTGTCTTCGGATAAAACTCGAGAGCTGTGCTCCCAACAGAACTGTTGGTTAATTCGGTACAGTCTTGGACTGTATATTGCATACGTGGAATTGCTGACGCGATACCCTATGCTATAGCTATTGCTCAGAAATTCGGGTGGATTTGTACCACTATACGAACAAAGAACGAAGGTTCTGTTCGAATGTTAATAATATTGCACAGTTATTTGTCTGTTGTACCTAATTGTCTTGTGAGATTACTGTGCAAATATAGAAACCGATGTACGTTCCTATAATATAAAATGTTGCTTTGAGATTAAACTTAATAGTGTACTTGATTAAATATTGTGTGCACTTTAACAAGGGTTTTTGGGAACCCTTTAAGAACTGCTTACATGTGAGTTGCTACTTCAAAAGTACCCTTTTTCCACAGGGGATTTTAGTAAGTACCTAGTCTTAAGCTTTATTACAGATGGTTTGTGGACATCGTTCTGAGAATCACCAAATGCTAAGAGGCTTAGCCATTAGATAGACAAAGGACTTCTTGATAAGGCTAATTTGAAGACAATTCCACCATTATGATATACTAATTGATTCAACGCAGAGAGGTTTACTGCCGCTGTAGAATAAGCTGGTGGCGTGAGAAAATGTTTTTGGCCATTGCAAAAGGTAAATATTACATCTACCTCGCAGGTAGATTCAGTTTCAAGTTTCGCAAGTCTCCCAGGGGCCACAGCCTTACATAGCCCTCGCAGGGTTTGTGCTCAAGTTTTCCAACACATTAATACACATTCGCAATGTGCTAGCAGTATCTCACCTTCGCAAGGTGGTGACAACAGCAATAAAACCCGCCTTTGCAAGGTGATGACAACAGCAATAAACCCACCTCCGCAAGGTGGTTGTATCATATTCATGCTGTTTTATATATTTTTCGGTCGTACCGAAAAATTGTAATATCTTTCGGAGTTGGTCAAATCCTCGGCAGAATAAAATTAGCAAAGTCAGGGGCGAAGACGTGTTATCGCACCGTCATAGACTGCAGCATTGACAACAACGACGTAAGTATTAACAATAGAGCAGACAGTCTCCTGAAATTGGTAGACCGATGGGAACTTGTAAACGTCAGATTATGAAATAACAAGGTATCGCATACCTTTTTACAAAAACTGTTCCTTGTTCACCCCAATGTTGTCTGAACGAACTTGTTGAACTGGAACATCTGTTCATCAAACATCTGTTCCAGAATCTCTGTCACTCTGTTCAGAAATGACATCAGTCATGAACAAAATAACAGAACAGGCAATTCCGGTCCGAGCTACTGAGCAGCCAAGCTTCCTACCATTGATATTTCTGGTCCAAGGGCGCCCGCATCGTCCATTTGGAAATTCAGGATTTATATATCAGTTGACCGATTCGTTAATACACATACGTGTTAACACACATAGTATTTCTCATTTTCTACAACCTGATTGTCTATGCAAAATCGACATTTCCTGTGGCCCGTAGCCAGGGAAGGTTTCTGCGCCTAAATTATCGCAATGAATTGGTACGAATGACTAGCTTATCACTAGGCATGAGCTCAGCGCCCAATACTTTTGCTACGATTGTCTCAGACACTTGGGCAATGAGGTGTCGGGATTTTTTATTGCCACCAGGACGAAGGCCGACTTCCGACTTCGTATTAAACTGGGGCTCCATGTTTTAGAAAAGTTGGTCAATATCAGGGATCCATAGTCAAATCACAAACATTTTCCCGGGAGTAAAAGTTCTGGGATCATTTTGCCATTTAATGCGGAAGAA